AAGGCCTGGGGCCCCGGAGGGAGGATGTTGTGTCTCTTCTGGGGATACGCAGGTGGCTTCTGTGCTTTGTGAAGAAGAGAGGAAGCAGGGCAGGAATAGGCTGAAAGGGCACTGGTCCTCTGGTGAACTACTGGAAACTGCTGGTTTCCGAGATTCTTGCAAAAAAATGCTGCAACGGATAGATCAAATGGGCATAGCCCTTACGCTCTTAATAAAGAGTGTTTGGTACTCAGGATAACTTAATACAGAGAATAAAAGTAGCTCTGCTGGCCCATAAGAAAAAAATCCAAGGTCCATATTAGGGCAAGGCCTTTGTTAGTCCAACCAAAATGCCATAAAGTAATGTGTAAGCTTTTGATTTCCCCAGAACTCTTTTGGTTGGCTTAATGATGGCATTGCCCCAATATGGACTTTGGAATTGATACAGGAAAAACTATGCATTAACCGTTAAAAGATCCCGAGTACACTCACTTCCGTTGCAAAATTAGAACACAGGGGTGCATTTGAACAGGACAAAGTGGGCGCATGAAGCGCACCATACATGCCTGAAATTAGCTCTCTTTCTCTCGCATGCGCACACCATAAATCTTTGATCTTCACAGGAACACACTTTTGGGAAGGCAACTACTGTGAAAAGGATTTATGACTGAGGTCCGGGACGGCTGGGCAGCACCGAGTATGTGACTCAACGCTGGATTCAAAGACCAAAGGAGGGACCTACGGGACAGGGCTTAAGGCAGCCTCTGAAGACTCTGGCTCTTTGTAGCCGGCCCCAAGCCTGCGCAAGGCCCTTCCAGATGCTGTCCATAAATAGAGAGCGTCCGGTGAAGGAAATGCAGGGAGGCCGCTGGGAGCAACGGTGTGGATAGGGGTATAAAGAGAGAGGCATCAGAAGTGATTCCCCTCTGCCTGCTGGCTAGACAGAACAAGTGACATTTCATGCGCATTTTGAAATCTTTGGTACTCATTCTAAAGGCGATGGCCACAGTTTTATCCTTGGTGTGGGAACACAGCACTTTTGGCACTGAACTTGGGTTCCTCTGTGCTGTTTTCAATGGCGTGTCTTAACTGGAGGTTGGGAAATGGCATGGTGAAGAGACACAGGATTTGGGGCAGGGGTTGAACATACCGTAGAAGTGCACCAGCACCTTTTTTACTCTGATTCTGTTTTTGTTTATACAGTACATCAGTTTAACTGCCCCGGCTTCCCTCAAAGAATCCTGAGAATTGTAGTTTGGTGATGGTGCTGAAAAATATCGGTTTGAGATCCCAAGCCTTTCAATGGCCTGCACATCCCAGAACAGGCCTCTAGTACTGTAGAGATTTTTAAGGAAGAGAAATTTCAGCAAGTGTAGCCTCATCCTGCTACAGGGCTGATAAAAGCTGCATTTGCTGGAACTCTTGTTGTTAGCCAGGCTAGCGGTTCTTTTTGCTGCCTACATGAACCAACACACTGCACCCTCCCCTTGTATCTAATTATATAGTGAGAAGCATAACGATATAGCACATTGTCTGACTTGAGAATTAACTAGTTGGTTGGCATCCATCTGTCTCAGAAGACAATGGAGGAGTGTGCCTTTGGAGGTGAAGTCAAACCTTTGGAGAGTTACCTTGCCTGCTGTGACTGTACAGACCAATAAGGGAGAGACATGCTTTGTTGCAGGTGAGGCAGATGAAGGCATTGGATTGTGCCGATATGTGTTACCAAGGCATTTCTTCTTTCTGTACTCCTTCCATGGTCATTCCCCCTCTGGTCATTGCTGTGGCTACATGACCTGCCTCCAGGCACTGCAGATGTCTGCAAGCTATTTCCACAAGGCGGGGTTAATGTTACCAGCCTTCATGGCATCTTTGTAATTTAGACTAGGTCTGCCAACAGGCCTGGTACCTGAAGCCAGCACATCCTTTGGGTCCTGCCATCTTCCATTCTATGGACATGATCAAGCCAGCATAGACATCACTGAGACAGGGGTGTGAACATGCTGGGAATGTGGTTTGGGACAGCACATCTTTGTTTGAGACTCTGTCCTGCTATGTGATGCAGCACATGTGAAAGGTGTTGAGGTATTGCTCCAGGCAGGTATAAGTTGCCCACATCTCATTCCCATAAACTAGACTGGTAGATCTTCATTGTGGTCAACAGCATCACAGTCTCCCATACCCTTTTGGAGAGGCAAGTCATTGCTGTAGCTGCCTTGCCAACATGCTTGTCCAGCTCAGAGTCAATGGAGAGGTTGCTAGTTATGGTGGAGCCCAGGTAGAGAAAATCACCTACCACCTCAATCATGTGGTTACCAATGCTGATGCATGGAGTGATGGTGACCTCTTGACCCAGGATGTTGGTCTTCATCAAGCTGATGGTGAGGCCAAACTCCATGCAGGCTTGGGCAAAACAGCTGATGAGTCTCTGTAGAGCTTCCTCAGAGCATGCTGTCAAGGCTGCGTCATCTGCAAACAACATCTCACAGGACCCACCGCACTTTTGTCTTGTGTGGAGACGTGCCAGGTTGAACAGGCCTCCATTGCTCCTTGAATGGATGCACACACTGTCTTCTGTTGAGCTGAAGGCATCTGAGAGCAACAGGGAGAAGAACATGCAGAAGAGAGTTGGAGTGAGAACACAGCTCTACAAGGCTCCAAGGATGAGCCGTCATACTTGATGCTGTGCATGTTTTTCTGAAAGGGCATGATCATCTCATGGGGTTTAGGTGGGCATCCTATCTTATTGAGCAGTGTGAAGAGTCATTTTCGGCTGATGAGGTCAAAGCCCTTTGTCAGGTCTATGAAGGCGATTTACATGGAGTGCCTCTGCTCTTGGCATTTCTCCTGCAGCTGACACAGTGATCAAATCATGTCAACAGTTGACCCCAGAGCTCAAAAGCTGCCTTGTGACTTGCATAGGAGCCAACTCCTAGGAACCAAGGTCCCTTCGCTCCCCCCCATAAAATATTTGAGGGGCCCTGTCCCCCAAAGTTAATGGGCATTGCCATTCAAATTGTGTGTGAGAGAGAGACGTCTTGTGATTGATTATTTTTATTATTATTGATATTTTATTCAAGTTGGCACCCCTGGTGACTCGGGATAGACCTGTCAGCGAGTGAATGTAATCTGTTGAGAACTACATGGGTTAAGGCTTTCCCCACAGTACTCAGCAGGGAGATTCCATAGTGGTTGTTACATGTTAGTAACCTTTCTTCTGGTAGAGGGTCACAAGGCTGGAGTTGAGCATGTCTTGTGGCATGGATCTTGCTTCTCAACATTGTAAGAGAAGGCTGTGGAGCTGAGAATTGACTGGAATATTATTTTTTCATTTTCGTTTTAAACTTCCTTCCCTTTTGCAACTGAGTTGGTGCTCCGGGTGGAGATCAGAAGGTTCTTGGCGATGACCCTTGAAGTACGGGAAGAGGGGCTGTGAATTTGTCACAATCACAGCTTGCCAGAACCTGGGAAACCTTTTGAAATTCCTGACACTAGGGATACTGGAATGCAAGACTCACAACTTTGTCAAAAACTATCAATTTGAGATGGTTTCATTTGGTAGTGACCACACGGGAACAGCAGTGTGGGTTGTGCCTAACTCAGATCTATCACTTTTGACCCCAGGTCTTCACATCTTTTCTCAGACTTGCTACTGCTATCTTGGAATGAAACTAGGGGTGCTACCTCCGAGCTGTGGCCCCTACAAACTGATTCTGAAGTAACACAACAGAGCTCCCAGGGTCAAAGGCAGAAAAGATTGTTCACAAAGATCCGTATCTGACTCATGGACCTGAACAGATCTTACTTGTTTCAGCTCTACATCCTCTTGCCTGTACCCAACCCAAAAAGTGCATGCCAGATGGCTTCAACCAAAGGCGGCTCTTTGGATCGACTCTTTGAACAGCCAAAATGCGTACAACCAAGGGTGCACATAATCCAGTAAGAACTGGTTCTGCACAAGCTTCTCTGAAATGACTCAGAGGTGGGGCTGCACCCATAATTAGCGCCAAACCTAACTTTGCATCTTGATGACCCAGAAAAGCAGTAAATTCCACGAAATATGAACTGGTTTTGTTCATATTGCAGCTGCCGAGTCCTGGAGAGCAAATTAGTCTCGCTACACTGGACCATACCAGGGGAAACATGTCTTGGTTACCTCCAGCCTTTCTTATCTACACAATACTGAGGCTCTGGTAGGAATTCAGTATGGGCTGGAAAATGTCTTTAACCGTCATTAGAAAACAATCGGAACAAGTAAAGTCAAACTGGAAAACTTAACTTATTGACAATCTACTCACAGAGTTCCTCAGGACAAGCAAGAAAGGCATATTAAACATACATTCTCAGGGTGCACCAATCATATGTAGGGTTCATTAGTCCCAGAAGTGGCTGAGACCTGGTTCTCACAGAAATGGCTAATATTTTTTCCCTTTAGATTGCCCAGATGGCAGAATTATTTTTCTATTGACACACACAGTCCTTGCACATGGAGAACTAACATGTCAGGGAGAAGGTTAGGCTAGAACCGTTTCCTCTCACATCGAATTTTGTACATGCAGACCATTTTTTGAACAGAGAACCATTCGAGGCAAGTGAACCCCGCAATGGGCAGTCAGAAGTGCAGGTCAGGCCCAGATTGAGAACCAGGCCTAAAAGACAGGATATGCAAAAGTGCATTCTGTCCCAGGTCAAAAACGATAACTTTCTGGGTTTCAAAAGGAAACACGGTGGAAAAGAGAAAACAGTACCGTCGGCACCCCGTCGTTTTGGGATGAGAATCCAGCTCTGAGCAGCATATGCTACGTTCCAGCAGTCCACCCTAGAGACCGGCAACTCTCCATGTGTCCTAGAATAACCTTGATTCCCCCTCCCCTTGTAACCCAGAATCATTTTGACTCCCTAAATACCGACGGCCTCAGCCCCAAATACCATGGAGCAGGAATGTTGGCTGCCAGTTTGCAGACATGAAAGGGTGTTATTCCTATTCCACACACACATTACAGTAAAGAGGCTCCTCCTACGTCCTGTCTCATCTGTCTGCCCTCACAATTACTGGCCTGGGAGGGGCTAAGGTTTTAAAAAGGATTTCCCTTCTTTGACTAAAAGTCAGTGACTTTCAGTGGTAAGTTCCCAGCTCAGACACTTGGCAGCTGGATACTCTCTCTCTCTCTCTCCCCTTCTCTCCCTCCCTCTCTCTTACCTTCTTGCCCTTTCTCTCTCTCTCTCTTTCAAGGAGGAATTATACAGCAGCTGGGACCTTCTTACCAGGAACATTCAGATTGCTAGGTAAGCGCTAACTTTTTGTGGTTTTCTCTGCATCTTGCAATCTGGCTCTTCAGCTACAATTTTTTTTTAAAAAAGTATTTCAGCATGTGTTGTGTGTCGTCTAGAAATTGCTCCCCACGGCGGCAAAATGTTCTTGGATGGTGTTTGGTTTCATAATGAAGGGGATTTGCGTCATAAATCTCATTCACTTTCTTGAAAAAATGTAATTCAGAAGGCAGCTGGGGGAAAGTATGGGGGAATTCTTCTACTGGGGACCACGTTTAGGACTTGCTGCTGGTGCAGGCAGGAGTCTATCACAGTCATGGGGTCTTCCTTTGACCGTGGACTGGCGTAGTTGAGAACGGTGCCGGACACACCCGAATTCCCCTTGAAGTGTTTCACTAGGGAGACAGAGAGAGAGAAAGAAAAAAAGAAAGATGAAAGTTGGTTAAACTGCATTCTTGCTCTTTAGATCCTAACAGAAGCCCCTTCAGGAAGAATGACTTTAGCAAGTGCTTCTACTTTCCTTTGCTAGGTGCGTACTTGAATTTGCTTAACCCCACAGTGTCAATTGCAAGTACAGCTGGTATAGAACGAAGGCACCTGCCCCATTTGTACAACAGGCCTTTCTGACCACTTCCAAGTGTGCTCTGGCTTTTGTAAGGCTGAAGTGCCTGTCCAGAGCAGGCATGCAGGAGAATGTTAGTCCTGCAGGAAGATTCTGCCTGGGCGGAAATCTGCATTAATATGATTAATACGGTACAATTTTCCCTTAACCCGCCGTGGCAAAATACAGTGGGGGTTGATGAGGATGTTCCAGACACCGTTTGAGAGGACAGACCCTCTCCTGGAGCATGCTAGTTCCCAGGCGCGCATGGTGCTTGTCTCAGCGATAAGCTCCTTTCCCGTGCGTATGTGCATGAGATGTGAGGAATTGTGGTATGTTGAGAAAACTTCATTCGGGTTGAAATGTGTCCGGGCCGTAAAGAGACGGGGTAACACGTCCCCACACAAGCAGCAGGGTGGAGGTAAACAATCCAACCTCCTTGGTGAATCTGGCAAACAAAGACAAAAGAAAGAGAGAGACATAACTTTGGCTGGGAATGTAGAGTGGCTTCCCCCTCTGTTGAGTCTCCTTTGAGGTTGTATAACCGCCCACAGCTAAGTTATATAAGGACAATTGGAACATGATGAGGCATCAGTTTTGGGTGGGGGCACTTCCTCGTCAGTGGTACCCTCAAAATGGCACCAGTCACACACTCTGCCTGGCTCACACCCATAGGGAGAATGATTCATTCTTTCCTCGTAGATTTACTTCTCATTTTCCGCGTGAAATTGCTTCTGCCGGGACGGATGGTCCTTTGCAAATTTCAGGGCCACTCCCTTTCATATTTTCCATTCTTGAAGCCCAGACATGCTTGTTGATAGTAGACTTGTGGCACTGCTGGTGTGCCCGGGGACAGGCAGAGGAGTTTCACAGAACGGCGAGTTTATATCAACGCTTTTCTCCCTTTCGTTTTGGTCTGCAGCGAGTCACATATTGAGGATCCCCCAACTTTTCACTATTAAGGGTGGCCAAAGACATTTGGTGCCTGGAGGGGAAAATGCAAGCTTGAGCAAAATCACTTCCATCAGGCTTGCATAGGGGAAAGTGTGCCCCATTGGGAGACAGATGTATATCAGATCTTTCTGCCATCCCCGCTTGCCTCATTGAAATACTACATTTGTTCTGTTTAAGATTATTTCATTACCTCTCTCTCTCTCTTATTTATATAAAAGCTGCTATAGCCTCCCTTTGCACAAACTCACTTTGGGGTAGAGAAGCTGTACTGGAGGGGAGGGCTGTTTAACCCTTTCCCTCTGGGCTAGCATCCCTAGGAAAATATATATATACAAGTACGTTTTAAACTTTGAGCTTTAAAACGATGTCGGGACATCCATTCATGGTTCTTACTGCGTCACATGCATTCTGGCCCTAAGCATCTTGGGGATGATTCCTGCTCGGGTCACTTCTGCAAATGTTCACTTCTTTCCCCTAATCTGCACTCCTAGGGAGTCTAGCCTCGGTTTCAGAAGTAGAAGCTACAGGCAGGTTTGTTTCAAATGGCTGGATATGGAGGAAATCTAGGATTCCCCTCCTAAAACAGGAAGAAAGGAATAGGTGAAATCCTACAAGCCCTTGTTGAAACTTGTGAGCATGTCAGGATGTGGGCATGATGTACTTTGATGGAGGCTGAAGCAAGGAAGTGGATTTTAGCAGTGGGGACGCTTGCCATGCGGTCCCTTTTCCAATTTATCGGCCCTCCTCCCATCACCACTGCTAATCAAATAACACAACATTGTGACCGTCCGAATCCTTGTCCTCTGAGCTGAATGTGTTTAATGTCTCTTGAGTTTTCCGATCATGGGGGAATTATTAATGGACAATATGGGAAGGGCCTTCTCTTTTGCAAGAGGGTAAGGAGGCAGGCATCAAGACAAAGGTCCCTTCCTCTCTCAAGGCACAACACTTTATAAAAGGAGGAAAGGGGGGGGAATAAGTGTTTGCCCTCTGGTTACCCATTCCTTTTCTCTGTTATTGAAGAAGAACTTCTCCAAGTGTGTTTGTGCTGTCTGCCTTGATGCTTCCCATGGTTAACAAGTGTAAAGTGTAGCACTATTATTCTTACTATTGCCAACAATTACTTACTTATTGATTCATTCATTCATTTATTTTCAAGTGCCCATACCCAGAAGGCACTATGCACAGTTCTTCTTTTTGCATTTTATATAGTGTTAAACTCCAGTGCAATGCTGTGGCAAACACGACACCCGTATAAATTCTAAAGCGGCATCTCCTCAAAGTTTCAGGCTAGAGGAACAATTGCTAGCCAATGAATGCAAGGCAGGGCTGCAAGCTTTGCTCAAGTTAATTGGTAGCTTCCCCGTCAGCTAGAGCTTTCGTCAATTAACTGGTGGAGGACAATTTACATTGGTGAGGGCAAATTTTAATTGGTGGGGCAAAGGATTCTTGGCAATTCCCCCCCCAAAAAAAACGCCCCACACTTAGCTTGGAGAAATAAATACATTGCAAACTGTACAAAGAGATGAAAAATTACTATATATAGGTTCGAAGTGGGGGGAAATTACAGCAATTATATTTATAATTACACCGTTCACAATTTTAAACTGATTAAAAGCATTTTAGAACACAGTAATGTTTTTTGAGGTTTTGATTCTGGTGTATTAATGTAATAGGGGGATGAAAAGAAAATATTTGGTTTTTGTCTCGATTACACTGTAAATTATGTCACATTTCCTTCAAAATCCCCAAAGGAAAATTTTATTAAAATACAAATTGATTTGAATTTACTGAATCAATTGGTTTTAAAAGACAAATAAATATTCACCTACAAATTCTTTTAATGGCTGGACAGCCCCCATAGAAGGGTACCTACCCCATTGTCATGATGAAGGATGCAAGTCCGGCCCCTGCAGCCTGCGGTTTGGATTTGTGAGAGCCCCACATGTGTGTAGAAGGAGGGAAGCTGGCAAAGGGCTTGCGTTTGCCACACCAAATTGTTTCTGCTCTTGCGAACAGAATTTTCACGTCCCACCCTGCTTCCTAACATCAAAGTGTCGAAACAAGCATATACCTCGAGAACCCAGGCTGCGGCTGTTGGGGAATCACCATGAACGGGTGTGTTGCACACGGTGAACAGCTTGTGTGTGTGTTGTGGCGCTGCTGTTGTTGTTGATGATGTTTAATTCCAAACACCATGTGGAACCAAAGTCGGGACGGCAATTCTGCCATCTGTTTGATGCCACCCTAAATGCCTTATATCAGGGGTAGGCAACCTAAGGCCTGGGGGCCGGATGCAGCCCAATCGCCTTCTCAATCCGGCCCGCGGATGGTCCGGGAATCAGCCTGTTTTTACATGAGCAGAATGTGTCCTTTTATTTAAAATGCATCTCTGGGTTATTTGTGGGGCCTGCCTGGTGTTTTTATACGAGTAGAATGTGTGCTTTTATTTAAAATGCATCTCTGGGTTATTGGTGGGGCATAGGAATTCGTTCATTATTTTTTTCCAAAATATAGTCCGCCCCCCCCACATGGTCTGAGGGATGGTGGACCGGCACACAGCTGAAAAAGGTTGCTGACCCCTGCCTTATATAGTATTGAATACTACCAAAAAAATGGACTTGAGAATATGCCTTTCCTCCCAATAATTCCCCTTCCCTTTGCCCTGCTCCTAACTTCTCCGACATATCCCCTCGTCTCCTTGATGCCTGGGAGGGGTTTGCAAGATAAGCTATTTGCTCTGGAAGCTTGGGTGTTACCTTGAGATACCACAGCGACTGGCACCATTAATAAGATATAAGTCAGGGTACCAAGATCATTTGCCCGCGTTTGTCTGCATTTCTTCCTCTGACCCTCTCCTCCGGCTATGACCTTTCTCTGCAGTCCATTAGATGGGCCGTGTGTGTGTGTGTGTGTGTGTGTAGACTGCTTTTTGACACGGGTGCTTCATATTTCGAACCTGGGCCTCTCTGTGTGTTGCAGCCTGAAGGTGGAGAAAGGAACCCCTGCATAGAACTTCAGATCGTCTTTGAAAGTTGATCCGGTAGGCTGACAGTCGGTGCTTTTAATATACCACTGCCCAGTTTATATGTCTTCCTTATTGCTGAAATCCCCAAATTGGTCAGGCCAATCAGAGAGGGGAAATCAGGCATTGGTGCAACAAAGAAGGAAGCTAGTGGAGGAGAACTGTAGAGGCGTAATCCACGTAGTGCTCGATGACTGTGGAGAATCTTTCAATGGCCATGACAGAGACGGGCCATTGCAGAGACGCCAGGATTAACTGAGCATTCACAGATGCACAGGCCAGCTCCTGCAACTGGCTGGCCTTCGGTTGCAGAGGTAGTAGGCCCACAATAGGCAAAATGAGGTTTCAAAATCAGGGCAGGCTGGGAGGCAGGTTTCAGTGGGAAAATAAACCGCAGGGAAAATTTCTTGCAAGCTCCATAGAAGTAAACCGCGGCTGGGCAAGAGCACAGCCGTTCACTCCAGTGGGGCTTGGGGTGGAGAACTCTGCCGTGGTTTCTACCCCATGGTCAGTTAATGGGAAGGGTTTCCATTTGGATTCTTTTGTTCCAGGCACTTAAACGCTTTCGCTTGCCCTGTCCTTGTGCATATGAAGTGGCCTAGTGGTCTCTATGCAGACCTTGGGTGTGGCAGATCTGGTATTTTCCACTGGCTTTGGCACTCAGCGAGAGCATGAATGAATCACCACTGCCCTGCCTTCGATGGCTGTTTTCCCCTCCCTACTTCCAGTTAATTCCTGCTTTGCATAATATCATTGAGAATGGGTGTTATACAACACGCTATAGATGCAGACTTGCCCATGTAAGGTTCACAGCCCAAGTGCTCAGGGTGGGCAAAAATGAGCAGCGCCCCACCGAAGCCATGCTCAAGCCTACAGCAGCGCCAGAGGTGTGGCTCTCCGTGTTGGCATCCGTCTGTCTCAAGAGACAATGGAGTGCGCCTCTGGAGGTGCAGTCAAACGGCTGTGTTAGCAGCACCAAATTTATGGAAAATTTATGTTGGTGGGTCCTCACCTCCTTCCCAAGTCAGTTTCATCAAGACCCTCTCTCCCTAACACCCATCATTTTGTTAGCTATGGTAGAGCAAATTCCTTCCCTTTTCCACTTGTCAATGACTGTATCAGGTCCCTATTCAGCCAAAATCTGGGCGAAATCTTTAAGGGATCTTCAGGAGTCCAGGAAAGGGTGGGAAGAATGGCGTGAAGACCTTTTTTGTGCTGAGCTCTGTGTCTTTGCTTACTGCTGTACATTGCTGCTAGCACAGATTTGTGGGGTGTTTTTTGGGGGGGTTGTAACATAGCCGCCACCGTCTTAGCTGATGTCTGCTTGTTGAAAAATGATGGAGGTTATTGGAGTTTCGAATCTGTTTTCATTTTTGTGAATTTTGTTTTATTGTTGGTTTTAGTAATACCATTTTTTTAAATGTACTTACGGTTTTTATTGTTGTTAAGTCGCTTTGTGAGGCTTTCCTCGGAGCAGCGGCACATAGATATTTTAAGATAGATGCAAAATAAAAATAAGCAAAGGGAAGCACAAATCGTCGACTCGCTTGTACTTCAAGCGCTGCCGTGTCCCTTTTGGGCTTATCGGGGATTGTAACTTGAAGAGGGTGGTCGTCTCATCTGCTTAAAAATGTCTGTAAGTCCTTTTCAGGTTTCCCATTCATTCCTGCGTTTGCTGATTGCCCAAGCGTGTGAACCCCCACCCCCCCAAAGCCGGACATCTCACAGCCACCTACCAGGCTATTAGAAATACAGGGAAGTCCCAGAGACAGTTTGAGTAAAGATTAGAAAAATGCGGGATGAACAAACAGCTCTCGTTTGAAAGATCCCAATTAGTGGTTCTGAGCAGCTCAGACGATCATGTGTTGCTGATCTTGCAGCTGTTAGGGGTTTAGAAGGGGGTTGTAGGTTATCAGTCGAGAGCATGCTTTATGTGCAGAACGCCCTAGGCTCAGCCCCCCACTGGCTCCAGCTAAAAGGATATCAGACAGCAAGGCTAGGAAAGACCCCCTAGAGAACAGCTGCCAGTCAGAACAGACAGTACTGGGTTTAATGGCATAATGGCATCTGTCCATGTGCACAGGACCGGCCAGTTCTACTTAGTATACAAAGCTGACTCTCTGCACTGAGCCCGGGCCCTTGGTTGTGAGTTTTAGTGCCCAGCTCTAGTAAACTGCACTCTCAGTTAGGGATGTGGGCTGAATAATTTGCGCTTTCAAAAAACAACCACCCTTCTCTCGTCTCCAGATTTTGCTGTGCAGTTCTTCATCCATGTAATTCATAAACTAGGGTAAAGTGTCCATAAAAGAAATCCACATTAAATGCTAATGAAGTTTCACGAGGACCTTAAAAACAACAACTAACTAACTAACTCACAAGCTGATTTGGAGGAAGGAATTTCAGATTGGAGAAGGGAGTAACGGAATGAGAACTGACAGATCCGTTCCTCCCTCTTCTCAATTTCCCTCAATCTGCTTTGGGGATGATTTATGGCTTCCAGTCTCTTGCCCCCGCATGCCTGGTGCTTCACTGGTTGCTATGTCTCAAATAAGGTCTGTCCTTACGGTTGCCAGACCCAATTTCAGGTGGCTTTTCAAGATTCAGAATAGCACAGGAAATTCAGAAATGAATCATTCGAGACTTTCGGCCTTCTTTTTGATCATGTCAGTAGTTTTCTCTGCCTTGCCCTGTTTGTGAAAGAAGAACATTAAAGATAATATTTGAGATAAACGTTAGCAAGAGGGACTTAGAGCAGGGTTCCATCCTTTCTTCTTTTCAGTAATGAGACTACTTCTGACTTGTGAAGAAATGTCTGAAGACGTAAAACCCAAAAGCTTTAAGACACATCCAAAAAAAAATATGAAATGGGCAAAAATGAAAAAGAATATAGGTTATAAAATTAAAAGGGTTTTTTTTTATAGTTCCGTAATATTTGGAAGTGAGAAGAGCTTATGTATGTGAGCCTCATTAAACATTATAATGAAAGCACCTTTAGTTTCTGCCATTTCAGCAGCTATGTCTTTAGAAGCCCCACCTAAAATGGCGTGTCTTGTGTGTGAGCGACTACAATTATTTATTCCTCTGAATGATTCAAAGCAGGGGCTGGAGTCGGCTGAATGTGCGCAAGCGTGCAAACCCACCGTGCGAGATTGACCCCTTGAAGAAAACAAGAGGTCAAGTTCATGGGGCAATTCGGGCATTTTATGGCAGTTTTGTGGTGAAAGTGAAAAACAATGAGTTGGTTCCTTGGGCGATGCGGCAGACAGATCTTGCAAATAAATGCTCCAACATGAGGCTGGTGACTCACTGTAGCCTGGAAAACCTGCAAAGTGTGGCTTGAATCAGGAGAAAGCCGGTGGAGGCACATGTTGAAGTTTGTCTGAGCTTTCATAAGGCATATCACTGTGCTAGGGTGAAAAACAACAACACCCTAATCCGCGGCATAACCATAGGTCAGGTGACAGTCTAGGAGAAAAATGGGGGGGAGAAGGAAAGCAAGAAGAAAATATGGTTTGTTCCCAAATTGTAAAACAGAAGACATTGCACTTAAATGGAAGAAGGGGTCTAAAATGCTGGCCGGCTGTGAATAAATTTCTTCTAAAAGTGGGTGGCTGTGCGTGAGTACTGTCGATGGTTGTGCTCTTTTAAGAAAAAGAAGTGATTTTCCTACTAAACATTATCCTTTATACATGCACACATAATTTTGTTTGTATGCCGTCTTTCCAGACTTCAAACCATGCTCAAGGTGGCTTACGGCACGAGAGGAATACATAGCTACGACATAATAAAAGTAGTTATAAACAATAAACGAAACATTTTAAAATGCACAACCAAACTGAACAATTTCCGCATAAATCCCAAGATCTAAAATGAAGATACAAAAAAAAACACCAACAGCAACAACCCCACACCCAACAACGCCCCCCTCCCCACATTACCCCAGCTCAAGAAATATGAGAAATAGTCGCTGCTTTGTTGACATATATAGCTCATCCGCAGCCTCCTATCTCTCCGTTCTCTCAATTCACTGCATAGCCTGAAACTGGGGAGTAATCAGTTTAAAAGCTGGTTTCGGGTGAACGTGGGGATTGGTTAGGTTTCTTCACTGTAGTCAAATGCCAAAAGGTGACAGCGGCCGTCACCACAATGGCTTTCTTATGTATCTGCTCATAAAGTGTGTCTCTCTGTGTGTTGGTGGCGGCATATGAGCCAGGAAAGAAAGAAAAGTATCCAATGGGAAAGAGCATGGGATATGAAGATGAGTCGTTTCACTCCGCTTCTCCCACACATGTCCTGTGTTGTAAAAATTAGATGCCACCCCCTCGCTTAGTAGATTAACTGGACAGGTGCATTTCAGACCCTCCAAGATTCCCTATTTTCCAGGGACGCCCCTGATTTAGAGAAGCCGTTCCGGTTTCCATTTTGATCCTGCTTTTCCTTAGGATGACCCTATTTTCATTGGAGAAATGTTGGAGGGTATGGAATTATCTGACCCCCCGAGCCATCTGAAGGCAATCCTGTATTGGGAAGGGTTTTGTTTTTTAATGTTTAATGTTTTATGGTGTTTTTATATATGTTGGAAGCTGCCCAGAGTGGCTGGGGCAGCCCAAGTAAGATGTGCGGGGTATAAAAAGTAAAAATATCATTTTGGAAGGGGAGAAATGTTGGAGGCTATGGCATTTACATGGCTGCTGCTGTCGCTCTTAGATTTTATTTTGACTCTCAGGTGCTGGGCACAGGAAGGATTGACACTTGCAAAAGCCTCTGTGCTAAGTGGAGAGTGTGGAGTACGGCAACAGGCAAATTCACATGCCCTTTGCATATGTGGAAGCCTCCATTTTGATAAGTTGTTTGTGCCCATGGGTCTCTCTCTCTCTCTCTCTCTCTCGGTATATATATATATATATATATATATATATATATATATAAATATAAATTTTTATTAGTTTTTAACATATCATTTTCAACAGTAATTAAACATACTTTTACATCTTATTCAGTTTTTTTGACTTTCATCAGTCCTGTCTGAAAATTTTCCAATATAATCTCTTAGTATGCATTTCTTATTTTCCCTATTGCATTTCAAACTCATAACCAATATCTCTATCTTTTTCTACTTTGTAACACTTCGTATATTTCTCCTTACAAAACTTCTTGTAGTCCTACTAGTGTAATTTGTTGATTACAGTTGCTCTTGGAAGTAAAAAGGTAAAGGTAAAGGACCCCTGACAGTTAAGTCCAGCCACGAACAACTCTGGGGTTGCGGCGCTCATCTCGCTTTACTGGCTGAGGGAGCCGGTGTTTGTCTGCAGACAGTTTTTCTGGGTCATGTGGCCAGCATGACTAAGCCGCTTCTGGCGAAACCAGAGTAGCGCACAGAAACGCCGTTTACCTTCCCGCTGGAGAAGGTAAATAGATACTTCCCGGTATCTATTTATCTACTTGCACTGGTATGCTTTCAAACTGCTAGGTTGGCAGGAGTAGGGACCGAGCAATGGGACCTCACCCCGTCGTGGGGATTCGAACCGCCGACCTTCCGATCGGCAAGCCCAAGAGGCTCAGTGGTTTAGACCACCTGCTTTTAAGCAAATGTGGCGGTGGCAAAAGCTGGACCTGGGCAGGAAAAGTATTTGCGGGAAACTTATGAGTGGCTTTTAAACTGTACAGCCAGGCTCTAAAAGTGTGAGCCGAACTTGTTGGTGGAATCAGATCTCCAGCCGGGTCAGTAAGCAGCAGCATTCACCTTGTGGTTTAGGGCTAGGGATGGGACAGGAATTATTTCTGTTTTCATTTAAATTAGAGACCACCTAATTTGCACTTTGTGAATCCGTATGAACGTATCCACCAGTGAATTTTGTACTGCAGGTCTCCCAAATACGTATGTATATATCAGGGGGTGCATAAAAATGCATATTTTACTGAAAATAAAAGTAAAAGGCATCTGGAGAAGTTGCTTGCAAAATGATTTATAGCCGTCAAAATTGCATATGAAAGTGGTGTATGTTAGGAAAAAATTGTACTAAAATGTTGAGGAATTTTCATGAGGATTTTTTTTAAATTGCCAACAACTGTGAAAATGAGAACAGCTGAACTTGGGATTGGGAAACTGATTGGAAACTGAAAAGGACAGAGTCATCCATCCCTATTCAGCACCATCCTGAAGTGTCCCCCACCCCATCTTCACCCCATTGCTTGCCCTTTTGTGCAATCGCCATTCATTTCAGCCAGGCACATGCAAAGGCATTGCTAGCCAGTTGCACCTCTGATTGTGATGAAACCTTTCTCCCTACTCATTCTTTTTGGAGTCTTTGGGAGGCTTGCAGAAAGTGGGTAGCATTGTTTTCAGCTCCCAGGTCCTAGAGTGGGACCCGTGGAACTATGCATAAGAGCCACACATCTGATTCTCACTTGGCACACTCCAAGTTTGTGGTGTGTCACTTTTCATATAGAAAAAGCAACTCAAATGTATTTAAAATAACCAGGAACAATCTGCATGGCTGATCGACCAGCCTATCACTCATGCAATTTGTAGAATTAAGGTGACAGATCTGAAATGAAGCATATTCACTGTGCAATTGGCACACTACACACTGTCCAAACCTGGGATTGTGGTTAAATAGCTGTCCACCTTAACTACAGGACGCGGGTGGCGCTGTGGGTAAAACCTCAGCGCCTAGGACTTGCCGATCGTCAGGTCGGCGGTTCGAATCCCCGCGGCGGGGTGCGCTCCCATCGCTTGGTCCCAGCGCCTGCCAACCTAGCAGTTCGAAAGCACCCCCGGGTGCAAGTAGATAAATAGGGACCGCTTACTAGCGGGAAGGTAAACGGCGTTCCGTGTGCTGCGCTGGCTCGCCAGATGCAGCTTGTCACGCTGGCCACGTGACCCGGAAGTGTCTGCGGACAGTGCTGGCTCCCGGCCTCTTAAGCGAGATGGGCGCGCAACCCCAGAGTCGGACACGACTGGCCTGTACGGGCAAGGGTACCTTTACCTTTACCTTTACCTTACCTTAACTACAACCTAAACCATAGAACACACTTTGGCTATAGATCATGGTTAAGAGGAGAAACCCTAAGTATGATCCCTGATTTGGACAACATGCTAAGTCAGACTTTGGCTTGGCTGCCATGGTGTGCTGGCTTTGGGAGCCAGTGTGTTCACACTAAGCCAGTGGTTCCCAAACGTCTTCTCTGGGCCACACTTTCAGAATAAAAATTTGCTCGCACCACACTGATTTTTTTTATTTTATTATTATTATTATTATTATTATTAGGAAAAACATTGTAAAACGAAAAGAAACAACTCTTAGCAGTGCTTGTATTATACACAACTACTTTGTAATATGATCATGGGACATCCAGAAAGTGGAAAACAACACAGCTACGTAAGAACATGAATCATTCCCAAAATATAATTATAAATGAGTCTTCTCCAACACTCTGTTCGAATGGAGATTCTGGATCACAACTAGGCTTGTCCTCAGGATCACTTGATGCTCTCGCTGTCATTTTGAAACGGTATCTGTAAACAACAACAACAATTTATACTATAATATACTACACTGAAATGTTTAGATGTTTCTTTGTCTTTGAATCTTCCCACTACACTTGCCACCCTCTCCTGCCACACCAGTGTGGTGCGGCACACCCTTGAAAACCGCAACACTAAACCGTGGTTTGGGTTAGCTTAACGTGATGTGCAAATGGGGACAAGGTCAGAATCTGACTGTTCCCCAGTCCGGTGTGTGTAGCTAGGCCATCCCACAGGGAATTAATGGGTTGTCTTGATGGGTAGATGGAAAAGAGAGAGAGAGAACAAATTATTGGAGAGCAATACAGTACAGTTGTTTTG